CAATTTTTGTGCCCCACTAAAGCCTGATGAACCAGAGAAAATAAAGAGTACAAATGAACACGCAAAGCCACCTGATTTATTGTTTTATTCTTTCACAGCTCAAAGCCTTCACAACATATTTGATATGGGGTGGGAGCGGGGGGGGGGGGGGGGATACATGGAATGCTGATTCTGCAGTTGCTGAACATCTCCTGATGTTTCAGAAAGACTTATGCACCCCACATATCTTAATGTTCAATTAAAAGTACATTAATCACTTCAACAAAACTAAAAAGCAGACTGAGTTATCAGTATGTTGGATACATTCCTCAGGGTGGTAGGGTTCTATGTCCACCACTTTCCAGCCAACAGTGGTGTGCACAGCTAGTTTCTGCTGAATGCACCCAGAACAGGCTTACCTCAAGCTCAGTCATGGAGAAGGAAGAGCAACAGTGCTCCTAACATTCAGGAGCAGGAAGCAGGAAAGGCCGGTGACTCCTATGCCAGCAGCGCCTCCCATACATTACAAGCTTTTATTTTCAGCTTTAGAGAACCTATCAAAATGGTCCATGGTGATGAACCTATTTTGAGAAACAAGTTCAGCACCATGGATAGCTCCCCATAACACTGACAAGAAAGGTTGGTAATGTAAAATGGTTAGGAGCCCCACTGACATTGAAGTCACCAGCCTTCCTTGCCCAAAACCTTTCAAACATTTTGTTCTCACTTAGGAATTAATATTATACATTGTAAAAAAACAACAACAATAAAAAACGGCAACCCTAGATTTTAAAAATGGCAAATCCTGAAGTAACTAGGACATAAATAATTCTTAAGTCTAAGAAACAATGGCATACCCAGTTCTCTTTAGGAGCTAGGTTCTCACAATCAAATGGGTCTTCATAAAGTGGGATTAGATGTCTAGGGTAAATTTTGGGGTTTTGAAAGTGAACTTCTGCTGATATTTCAGGCTCTTTTCCCTACAACTTTATATGAAAAATCATCATTTCAAAAGGGACCTTTCAGACTTATAAATTCATTTGGGCTCTCCTCATTTTGAAGTTCACTCAAATTACATCCGATAATAAACATTACATAGGGGGATCCATAGTAATGGATAGCTCAGATTAACACTCTGGTGTTGATAATGGATACAGATCTTGCATCCAAACTTCTACCACACGATTCTCCTGTTTAAAATCTCTCTCCATCAGATCCAAGTATATTATTTTCCTTTCTAGATACAGCAAAGCAACATGATATTTCATGCACTTTAATCTGCACCACACACTCAATTTTTATTCAGGTTATCTCTTTCAAGCTCTAATACCAGATTTGCAGAAAGGAAATACCATGTATAATTACTTTATTGTTGAGTGAATGGAAGATAGGTATCAGATAGTGATCTCTTTAAATTACAATATTGTCTTCTGTCTCAAAACAATTTTTGAGGCACTATTCAGCTACTATAGTGATGTTTAAATGGAAGTATTCTGTAGTTATATATCTTTCTATAAACATCTGAACATTTGTTAATCGTAGTTGAATTTATTATCTCTTTAAACATGCTAGAATGATTAATAATTTATGACACAGAGTTTCATAAATTACCCAAAGTTCTAGAAACACTGGATATTTTAAAACTTATACACAGAAAGATAAAATTAGTATTTATAAGATTCACTCCATTATTCTTAATTGTGGCAGAAATGTTTATGCCATTGTATATATGTGCAGGTTTATAGGAATCATAAAAATCTGTGCACAAATCTCATCATATTTTTACAATCTCAGAATTTAAAATATTGTTATCATAAAAAGCAACAAAATTGGTGGCTTAATTATTAAATCTTTTCTAAGCTTATAGATGCATTTATAAATGTGTTTCATGACATTTTAGCCAAAATTCAAATTTTATATTTTAAATTCTTTTCTAATACAACTTAATCTTTCTAAATGATATTTAACCAAGTTAAATAAGCATACTTGAATCTACTATCATGTTCTTATCTGCATACCTTAGTTTGTAAGCAGCACTTAAACTACCATTTCCTTGTTTGGATATCACAGGAAATCAAGGTTTAACAAGCCAAGTAACAGCACCAAAACTAGGCATTTGAAAAGAAGGCTCCAAGAAGGAGTCTATGGACAAAAGACAATCATTTAAAATTCCTAAAAATTTCATCTAGACCTTCCTTATAATAAACAAAGTTCAATCTTAATCTTCATAATTTCAAAAATAGTTAAAATATTAATTCACTTCCTATTAGAAATGAATCAAGAATAATGAGGCATGTGTATTTTAATTAATTTCCTATCCAAGAACCAGATTCATAGGCAAAGGGTAAAGAACTAAAACAGACATTCCAGAAATGAGGACAGCAAGGTTTCATCCAATTTTGTAATTCTGTATGACCATTTCTTAAATGAATTGATCACCAACATGCCAAATACTGAGAACCTTGTAATTTAAGTTTTAATCTTGTATTGTAAGTTTTAAAAGAGTTATCATAGTTATTATAGCTCCTCATTTGAGTTCAAGTTGCTCCAGATCAGTAAAGGGAACTTACAAGTGGTGAATGCTATGCTTCTTCTATGCTACAATGTTCTATTCACAGTGAGCATACTGTCTTGATTCCTCATCTCACTGTACTAGCATACCCCTCTGGAGAGCAAACACCCTTATCTGTGCACTAATTGTGCCTGGAAATGAAGTTTTCCTTAGAAGGTGGATGTCTCACTTTTGGCACATATGGGATATAAGTTGTTTGGGGCTTTTCTTCTGGCCCTTCTCTAAGTTCGTAGGGCCTTCTCAGAGACATTGGAAAAGTAAGAGAGTAGAAATAGAAACACCATTTGAGTAACAAACTGGAATTGCTCCAGAGAGCACTTTTTATTCACATTCCAGGGTGATTTACTGAACTGTAGCTTAAAATCCCATTGTTCAAAAGTAACTATTTATGCTGACAGTTTTCAATGAGAGCCAGTAGATTAAAATGTTGGGTAAAAAGGTAAACCACACCTGATTTGAGAAATTCAGATTCCCCCTGCCGAATGTTTTTTTCTCACACAGTTTCTGTCTGTTGCATAATTCCAATTAGAGCTTGTTCAGCAATTAATCCTAAATCCTAAACTACCCTTGCAGATTTGTTTTCACATTCTGAGCTTTCAAAAATGAAAAAGAAAGGGAGAAAGATTCCAGCAGAATCTGTTGTAACTGCACGAAAATTCTTTCTGATGAAATGCTACACAAAAGATGGTTTACAAACACTATAGAAAACATTTTGCGTTCTTTATGTAAACTGCAGAGCATAATTTCTAGGTAAGGCACTGATTTCTGAAGGCCAGCAAACTCTAGGAAAGCCCTGAAATGTAGCACCTGATCAGCTGAACAACTACTATGCTTAAGAGTGTGCTCAATGCACATATGGCAGACAGCTCTATGCTGAAGTCCATCAGGCAGACTATCCTGACGCCAAATCAAGTTGAGATAAGAAACATACTGTGGGTCACTGGTTATTGTTCCTATTAATGCCATTAGTTCTCAGACAAGTACACAGCATGAGAAGCTTCTTCATCCGTTGTTGTCAAGTGGACTTTTCAGGAAGTCAAGGAAATCCTGGTCTTTAAAAACAGGGAAAGAAAATTACTCTCTCCTTTTCACAATGGCTTAATTCTCTCTTTATTCTCTTTTCCTGTTAGAAAAATTGGATAAAGAGGCAGGGATGCCATGCAAGTAAAATGTAAATAATGGCCTTTAGACAAGCTTTGTCTAGTTATATCATGGCTTGATTAGCTCCTTTTTTTTAGCATTTCTGAGGCCCACTCTCTTTCATTCTCCACTGAGAAAATAAAAATATTATCTTTCAGTTTGCTATTCTCTGTCTTGAACCTTTGAATTTCTGGACAACCTGCAACCAGCATTTGTTCCAAAAATACTATGCCCTCATTTAAATTAACATGACAATGTCATTTAAAAGCACGAAGTACAGCTTTATTTATATGCAGAGAGAATCAGCCTCGAAATATGTATGACTAAAAATAGTTAGATAGTGCCCAACGTGAGCAGATGGGCTGCTCATGGCTACTTCTGAGTAGATATGCTTTCTTGGTAACAATGAGATTTTGGGCAGAGGGGTAGGATTTTTCAGCCCTGCTCACTTTTTCCTGTGCCCCCTACTTGAATGCACACCCAGAGAACTTTTCCAAATGACATTCAGCTCCTGGGACAAAAAAATGATTTTGCCATGCCATAAAGGAGAGTATAATTCTCTTAAAATTAAAACGCTAGAGTTCTGTTCCTGAGAAAATGTAAGTCAGATCACATATAGTTGGCCCTCCACATGTGCGGGGGTTAGGGGCACAGGACTCCCATGAAAATGGAAAAACTGCAAATATCTCTATCACTACCCCCAACTCACCAATGCGCCCTCTTTGCAGCAAGGAAATTCTGGAGTAATTTCCTTCTCTGGATGGGAGGGGAAGGAAGGCATGCTTTAAACAGAATCCCTCTCTCCCCTGTCACTTCCTCTCTCTTTCTATGCTGATGATTTGGAGGTCCTCCCTTCTCTCTCCTTTCATTGCCTCTCTCTATCTGGTGATGACCATTTTTGCAGATTTTTTTTTAATTAATAGGCTTTATGGCAGTGTGTGTAAGTATGGGTTGTTCGTAAATCAGGGACTGACTGTATTAAGAAGAACATTAAGAGCATTTATCCTATGGTTATTTTAAGACATGATAGCTACTATAATTGTAGCTATCATTCTTAGCATATTTCTAAGAATAGGCAATATGTACTTCAGAAATAATGAGAGGATGCCTGAATTAAGAATGAAAAGAATACTGAAATTCAAATGAAAAGACTACTGACAGTAACTACTCATTTGCCATCTAACTGCATACGGTGTATATCAAACTATAGCTCCTGATCAAACTTTATCACAGTAAAATCAGGAACACATGACGAAAACAGTATGTACCATAAACATTAAAGAAAGCTCTACTGTGGTTCTCTACTCACCATCATCTGTGTCAGCTAAAATGATGACTTTAGTGCTAGGGAATTCTGTTCCAACTTGACCACCCATTGGCATACTTAATGTGACATTGAAAGTTTCCTCTTCCTCATAAAGTGAATCATCAATAATGATGACACGACAGGTTTTCTCTGTCTCATCCTTATCAAAACGAATGACACTGGTATGGTCTTCAGGGCGAGAGATATAGTCAGAGTAAGACAAGACAGTGGAAGGAATTGTCCCAGTGGCAGTTCCTAAAATGAGAAGTAAAAATGAATGACAAACATTAGACTTAACAGAAATTTCACGTAACTTTGAGATCTACTGGTATAATATTAAATAACCCCTTACTTTCCACTCAAACTTTCATTCTTTTCTAAGACAATACCAATTATGAACATTCAAATCCAGCATCCAAATTTCTCCTTTCCTCAACTCTCTCAAGGTCAGTTATATAAGAACTGTACTTGATTAAAGGCCTATTTAATCCAGCTTTTTGTTGGAAAGAAAGGATGTCCCACAGACATCCAGAGGTCAATTGGATGTCTGTGGGAAGCCCAAGAGCAACAGTACTCTTGAAGGTGATTCAATCAGAACATCATATTTACTTTTAGAAATGTATCATTTTCAAACTTGGGTCTCTTTCCTCCAAGCAAGGCAATTTTGCTTGTTCCAGAGAAAATGCTGCGGAAAAAGTCCTTTGTTTTTTTCTTGCAATTGCAGGCTATTGTTCCTGGGAGTTATAGCCCTGTCTGTGGTTTTACCACTGTGTTTGAACTAGCAAGCAACTACATAGAAAATTAAGCCTAGCAACAGACATACATGGTCAGTCACATAGGATTCATAGTTAAGTGCAGCTTTATAAACATGTACTTTCCCAAAAACCATAAGGTTTATCAGTTGATATGCATTCTCCCTTGGGCAACCATGAATTATGAAATCCTTACACATCAAACATGTCATAGCTGAAATACCCTAAATAAATCTTTTGCAAGCAATATAAATCATATGAACAAAAAATGTAACACAGAAAGCAGCTAAAATCTACACTAGATACATTCTGCCCTATAATGTATCTACATTAAATATGATATGAGTACACCCCATACTCCCAAAATATCTGGCAGCATGCTAAAGTATAGCAAAACTAATTTCTGCAGAAGATCAATTGAAGCATTCCACAATGGGATCAAAGTTTTTGCAAGATGAATTATCTTCATGTCACAACTTGCTATATGCCTTAAGTTCTTAAGATTAATAGACATAATAGCAAATGAGTAAGTTGAACTGAAATTATTCTTATCTCACAGTAAGATGAATTAGTTTTTGAAAGACTATATTTCACACGTATCACTATAAAGAAACTAAAGTGAGTATCAGTGAAGCTGCAGAAGTGCAATTAAGGGTATATGTGCGTATATATAAATATACACACCCTATTATAATTCCTCCCACCATATCAGCTACACTTATCTGGATTGAAATCCTGTTTTCAAAGAATTAAAGCTACTGCAGAAGTTATATATCAGTTTATCTGTGCTGGCATGCATCAGATGAGAAATATTCGATTTTCTCTTCACTGCAGAACTACTGGGAGACTACAATCAGGATTTTTACTTCTAGTGAAGACTCAATTTACAAATAGCCAAATTTACTTTAAATTTAAAGTAATTTGGTATTACTTTTCATTTCTATACTACCCAATAATGAAACTCTGGATAGTTCAGAAAATACATAATGAAAAGTTTGTGGCTGTTCGTGGCCATGCGGGGGCTGGGCTGGTGAGGGACTCTGTCAGTGGGTGGAATTTTATTTTGGGGGGGGTAGATGGGGAGTTCTACATTGCTTTAATATTTTTATTATATTTTAATCTGTTTTTTATGGAGTTGTCCCTGCCACGTCAACGGTTGAGCTACCTGGGGAGTGCATGGGCGCCGCCATTGAGGTGGTTATGGGCAATGGACGTTACAGCAGTGGGGGTTTAATGTGTCCACATAGAAGAAGGAGGGACAGATGGCTGACACCTGTCCCTCCCTCTGGTTCTACCTCCAGCCAGAGGGTTCCAGGTAGTCTTGTCACCCGCCCCCTGATGGTGCTGTTGCTTAATGCCAGGTCGGTCCACAATAAATCGTCCCTCATCCACGACCTGAGCGGGCCAACCTGGCTTGCATAACAGAGACCTGGGCGGGAGAGTGGGGGGATGTCGCCCTCTCTCAAATGTGCCCGCCCGGATACCTGGTTCAGCACTGTCCACGCCTGGAGGGGAGGGAACGTGGGGTTGCTTTGGTTTACCGAGCCTCCATCTCCCTCGTGGGGCTTCCAGTCCCTTCGAGGCCAGGGCTAGAGTGCCTCTACTTGGTGTTGGGCAACTGAGACAGATTGGGGATTTTGTTGGTGTACTGTGCACCCTTCTGCCCAACAGTCTCCCTGCCTGAGCTGACGGAGATTGTCTCGGACCTGGTGTTGAGGACCCCCAGGATGTTGGTCCTGGGGGGACTTCAATCTCCATGCCGAGACTGGTCTGACCAGGGCTGCTCAGGACTTCATGGCCTCCATGATGGCCATGGGGCTGTCTCAACATGTCACAAGCCTGACCCATGAACGTGGACACACTCTGGACCTGGTTTTCTCGATGGGGCAGGAAGAAGGTGGTCTGAGGGTGAGGAATTTATGACAACCCTGTCATGGTCAGATCACTTCCTCGTGAGGTTTGTGCTCGAGAGCGGCCTTTCCCTCTGTAAGGGTGCGGACCCGATTGTGTGGGTCTGCCCCTGGATCCGGATGGATCCGGATGGATCCCTGAAGGCCCTGGGGGAGTTTCTGACTGACAAGACTGGTGCTCCTGTCAAGGCTCTGGTTGAACTATGGAATGGGGAAATGACCAGGGCTATTGACACGATCGTTCCTAAGCGTCCTCTCCCGCTGGGCAGAGCCCACTCTTCCCCTTGGTATAAACCTGAATTGCGGGCGATGAAGCGGGTTGGGAGATGTCTAGAGCGTAGGTGGAGGAAATCATGGGATGAATCTGACCGAACACCCTTAAGAGCCCATTATCGGGCCTCTGCTGTAGCGGTGAAGGTGGCAAAAACAAAATTCTTCTCCGTTTCCATTGCCTCCTCACAATGCTGTCCGGCGGAGCTTTTTTGGGTGGTACAAGGGCTGGTTCGTCCTGACCCTAAGAAAGATCTGGTTCCACCCTCGAAGGCCTGCTGTGACGACTTTGCCAAGCATTTCAGGGAGAAAATTGCTCAGATTCGTCACGAGCTGGACTCAACTAGTGATTCAGAGGCTTCTGGGGGGATACAAATGTCACCGTCTGGTCCAAAATTGATGGATGCATTTCAGTTACTGTGGCCTGATGATGTGGACAAGGTGCTTGGAAGAGTATGTCCCACCACCTGCCTACTGGACCCTTGCCCATCTTGGCTAATTAACAACGCCAAGGACGGGATAGGGACCTGGATCTTGGAAGTGGTTAATGCCTCTCTGAGGGAGGGCTGTGTACCTGCCCCTTTAAAGGAGGTGGTAGTCCGACTGGTCCTGAAGAAGGCGTCACTGGATCCAGAGATGGCCACTAATTATAGACCGTTGGCCAACATCCCGTTTCTGGGCAAGGTGTTGGAGCATGTGGTGGTGGGACAACTCCAAGCACTCTTGGATGAAACTGATTATCTGGACCCATTTCAGTCCGGCTTCAGACCCAGGTATGGTACTGAATCTGCCTTGGTTGCCCTGTACAATGACCTGTGCAGGGAGAAAGACAGGGGGAGTGCATCCCTGTTGGTTCTCCTGGACCTCTCAGCAGTTTTTGATACCATCAACCATGGTATCCTTCTGGATAGGCTAGTGGGATTGGGGGTCGGAGGCACAGCTTTGCAGTGGTTCCGCTCCCATCTCAATGGCTGATTCCAGAAGGTGGTGCTGGGGGACTATGGCTCTGCGCCATGGCAGTTATGCCATGGAGATCCGCAGGGGCCCATTTTGTCGCCCTTGCTATTTAACATCTACATGAAACCGCTGGGAGAGGTCATCAGGAGGTGTGGGCTGCGGAATCATCAGTATGCTGATGATACCCAGCTCTACCTCTCGTTCTCTACCAATCCAGATGAGGCAGTGGCTGTACTGAACTGGTGCCTGGCCGAGGTAATGGGCTGGATGAGGGCCAATAAACTGAAGCTCAATCCAGACAAGGCAGAGGTCCTGTTGGTTGGTGGATCGGGCTTCGGGGAAGGGGACCTGAACTTAGTCCTGAATGGGGTTGCACTCCCTCTTAGGGACAAGATCTGCAGCTTGGGAGTGCTCCTCGACCCAGAGCTTTCACTGGAAGCTCAGGTGACAGCGGTGGCGAGGAGCGCTTTCTTTCAGCTTCGGCTGATCCATCAGCTGCGTCCCTACCTGGAGAACGACTGCCTGGCAACAGTGACACACGCGTTGGTGACTTCCCAACTTGACTTCTGTAACGCGCTCTACGTGGGGCTGCCCTTGAAGACAGTTCGGATTCTTCAATTGGTTCAAAATAGAGCTGCCAGGTTGCTGACAGGGACTGGGTGTTATGTTCACATGACTCCAGTTCTCCGTCAGCTTCATTGGCTCCCCACTGAAGTCCAGGCCCAATTCAAGGTGTTGGTGATGACCTATAAAGCCCTAAACGGCTTGGGTCCAGACCATATATGCCCACCCGCCCCTTGAGATCAGCGGGAGAGGCCCTTCTCCGGAAACCCTCCGTGAAGGATATTAGGAGGGTAAGTACTCGGAGGAGGGCTTTCTCTGCGGTGGCGCCCAATCTATGGAATGAGCTCCCCAGAGAGGTCCACCTGGCGCTGTCGTTATTTGTTTTTCAGCGCCAGGCGAAGACCTTTTTATTCAAACGTTATTTTAATTGTTAATATTATTTATTTATTTTAGTTTTCGGGCCAGGTAGACTCAAATTATATTATATTGTTTTATACTGTGTTTATTTATTTATTATTGTGAGCTGCCCTGAGGCTCCGGCAAATGGGGGCATAGAAGCCTTCTAAATAAATAAAATAAAATAAATAAAGTTATACAAAACTTTAAATATAAATAATCTTTAATTTTTTAAAACAGGTAAAAAAAGCTTTAACAAAATACTGGGATTTGATAAGAACAGCAACATTAAAAGCCCCAGCACATTCTGTTAAATCTCTTATTAAGCTGACATTGCACAGGCTGCATAGGAAAAGCATTCTACAATTAGTGGGCTACCACCAAGAAGGCCCTATCTCATTTTGCC